ACATCGTTGATCACTTTCCTTTGTGCCCCATAATCTCCTTGATCAGAAAAATTGGGACACCACTGAGTTACAGGATGTTACAGTACAGGTTCTCTTATGTTCTGAGTCCTCACTGACTTTGAAAGACTAGGGCCAAAATGTTGGCTGTCCTTGCAACCCTTCTTTTTGTCTGATTTTTGGTCTGCAAATGTAGGTTGTTAACCCTCCAGAAGAGAAGCCTAATGATATTATTACCCGGTGAAATAGGCAGTTGAGCTTAACCTCACTATCGACACCGATGTTTTTTAAACATTACTGCAGCACCTGAGGTTATTGCAATAACAGGAGATAGTTGTGACACATGGAGGTAGTATAGGGTGTACTGCGGCTAATTTTACATAGTTCGGCTTTAGTTCTTCATGGTGTCTTTTGTTTCTGTTTCTCTTGACTGAGAACTTGTACAGTCTGTGCGCTTGAAGTTGGATAAATTTTAACTTTCAAAATAGATTGTATATGCTTTTATAGTGGTAAATGATAAAATGCTTATCTACAGATATTTTATGCAAACATGACAAAACAGTTTTTTAAAAAATATATTTTTAGGCCACACGGTTTGCCAGGAATTTTCAAATTTTGTCGTCTCAAGGAAGAGAGAGCTTATAAAAAAAGCTTATAAACCGATCTGCGTAGTTCAAAGCCCTTTCCTTCATGGGTCAGCTGTATTAAAGGTGTACCTTTGCTTTTTTAGGTGTGCTGAAGTCCCCTTGAGAGAAAAAGACTGCAGCCCAAGTGCCAGTGCGACGCACAAACGACAAGCGACAGTATCCTGGGAAACTTCATCTGTTTTGCCCATTGGAAAGAGAGGCCGTGTTTTAAACTCTAGAAATTAGTCTGACATAAAATGATCTAGCACAAAATCAAGCGCAAAATTTAAACATACATTTAAAGAATAAACATAAGTCACTGAAAAACAAGTATTGACACGGTGTGTGGGTGCGGTGGCGGGGCTTGCGCAATCTGCCACCCTCGCGTAGTAGCCCTGGGGCGTGTCCACCCACACAAGCACTGGTAGCTGCTACTCGCGCCTTGGAAACGCCCTCCCGGGGGCGGGGGGATGGGTGTAGAAGAGCAAATAGAAAAGCGTCAGGAGGCTTACAGAGGCGGGCCGCTCTCCCAGTCCTGGGACGTGCAGGTCTACTCTGCCGCTCCGCCCCTTCCTGGATCTCTCCGCTCCAGCCCACCCCGCGCCTGCTGCCTTCCGGACAGATCTGTGGTGACATGGCGTGGCTTGGCCAAGTGCTCTTTGCTCGGGCGTCCCAGCTGCCCTGTGGCCTCGGTCCTTGCCGGGTAAGGCGGTGCTGGAGGTCTGAGGGTTCGGCTACTCCCCTGCCCGCGTCTGCCTCCGAAGTGGCAGTCCCGAGCGCGCCTTGCGAGGACCAAGGTCGCCGAGCACAGAGAGATGGCCTCCAGGACTGGGCATCGCGAGCGCCAGGAGAGAAGGCTGGGGTTCTCGGGGTGCTGGGAGGAGAGCAGTCTCCTGGGTGGGCTTCTCGGGGTGACAGGGGCGAGGGCCAGGGGTCCCAGGGCGCAGGGAGGCAAGTGCAAGGACGGGGTGTTCTGAGGGCAGGGCAAGGAAGCAAAGGATTCCAGCGCTGGGGAAGGAGTTGGGGCCATGGGCCCCCCAATCAGCTGTAGGTCTGGTGCTGTGGAGGGGCAAGGAGACACGTGGTTGTCGAAGTTCTCACATTCCTGCAGGTTTCAAAGTTGTGTGCAAGTGTGTGCAAACAGGTAGTGAAGAATAGTAGCTGACCCTTTGGGGCAGGGAGAGGTTGTGGTTGGGAGTGGGTCCCAGAAAAATCACTGACCTTATACAAAGTCTTTTTTTGATGAGGAATATCCATTTATGGTCGCAGATTTTGGTTGTACAATGAATCATTAATACAAACCGTCAAAAAAAAAAAAGTGAGGAATCTTCATTAAAGAAGTTTTGTTTGGGAATAAACAATAGGACTGTAATCCAAGGCGTGTGCACGTGTGACCAGAGTACAAAGATGTTTCGCCACCTCAGAGAGACCCATGCAAGTTGATTTGGGACAGAGTTCACTGGCACTTACTTTTCCTGCTTTTGACAGCTGGCAAAGTTCTGACTGGTGGCAAAGCTCTGCTTGGCAGCAAAGTAATAAGGTCATAGTTTTGTAGTTAGTCGCTAAGGAAATACAGTCTTAAAGACACAGCGGGGGCTTTTGCCTCTTACGTTGAGTCTATGATAAAGTTCTGGAGGAGGCATCCCTGGGCAGTTTCCTTTCTTCCCTGTGGCTCCTTCAGTGAAATTTGACAGGAATGACTGTTAGTGTAAGAAGTTCACACACATTAAAAAATTAAACAACAGAAAAATTGAAACCTGAGCTGCCTGTAGGCTCCCCCTTTCCAGAGGTAAAACTGGGAGAGGTACATCTCCTGAAGGCTTCCACCTTGGTGACCCTCTGACTTCTCTGCTCGGTCAGCATCTCTCCTTTGGACCTAGAATGAAGGTAACATGCACAAATGAAAAGAACTAGGAAGAGGGAAAAGGAAATATGGAAATGAAGCCCTGAGATCTCAGACAGACTCTAGCCCAACTAAGTTTGAACATCTTAAACTTTTTATCAGTTTCAATCAAGTAGAACATTTTACTAATAAACCCCTTTTCAGTATGATAAGGGTTATATTCTTGTCTTTGGAAAGATATGGTTAGCTATAGTTTGAAGTGTGAACACAAGATGTGTGTTAAGGTATTCTTTCAAGGCAGAGAACTTTATTTA